CCTTTCAGGTGATAGGTTATTAAAAAATCTCAAGACATCACTTCTTTCAAACCCATTTTGTTTGAAAGAGGAAAAAAATCTAAATTTCAAAACACAGCAATCAGGAATATCATTTTTAAAAGAGAAGTTTTGAGGGCTGGGGATTTAGCTCAGCGACATAAGCACCTGCCTTGGAAGTAGGCAGTGGTGAGTTCAATCCTTGGTACCGATAAAAAGGAAAAAGACAAAAAAAAAAAAAAAAAAAAAAAGAGAGAGAGAGAGAGAAGTCTTGCCAGGCATAATAGAACAATAGAACATGCATGTAATCCTGGCCCCAGAAGGCTGAGGCAGGAACATTACTAAGTTCAAAGCCAGCCTGAACTACACAGTGAGAACCTACCTCAAAATGAATAAGAAAAAACTGAATGAGTGAGTTTTTAGTTTTCATTCTATTCCCAGTTGCTACAAAAGTACACAAGTACTTAACTAAGTATCAATGTGTGTTCATGATGACTGTCAAAGTCCCTGTTTATTAGGGGAACCATTCTTCTGTCTGTCCACCCGGCATTTTTTCCAGGGCCCCTCAAGGCCCTGGTGCTGGGGACCTTGTGTCAGGCCCGGGGGTATTGTGGGTGATAATATGTTCGGGATTTCCCTCCTCTGCTGGGGACTTCCCCGAAGGTTGAAAACTGCCTTCATCTTCCAGCTTGCACCTGTTAGACACCCTGTGAACCTCAGGCTGGGAGCTATGCAGACCCTGGGTGACTGTGTCCGAGCCCCATGGATAGTGTGAAGGGTTTTTAGGTCATTGTCAGAAGGGTCCAAGCAAAGTCCCCTCCCCCTGGCGGGAGCACCCATGTGCCCAGTCCTTCAGAGCCAGTTTTCTGCGTGGAGATAGGGGTCTGTGGAAGCCATAGGGCTGTGGTGCTGTGCCCGCATGACACTTCCCTCCCAGGGAGATGAAGCTGCCCTGCCCTCTGCTCCAAGCTGTTGTCCCCTTAAGGCTTTGTCTGCAGCCCTCAAGCTTAGCAGCAAACCACAGCGGAAAGCAAAGCAGTGAACCTAGCAACAGACAAATACCAGGGAGTCCAAGTAACCGGGTCCGGGTGTGGCCGCCTCGCACTGGCCTGAGCTGGAGGCTGTGATGCTGATGTTTCTTGAATACACTGAGACAGCCCACTTACCCTTCCAGGTTTCCCAGGAGCCCTTTGAGAACCAAGTTCCTGTCTAGGGCTCTGTGCATTTGGGAACTGCATGAGATTTCACACCCCAAACTTCCCGCAGACAGAACTTCCCCAGAGCTGACCTGTCCACCCAGTGCAGGGCTCCTGAGCCTGAATGGGGACAGTGGGTTAGTATGTTTCTGGCACTTTGGCAGGGGCTGGACATTCAGGGACAGCTTGTTAGAAGTGGCTACATCAGATACCCTCACCAGCAGAGCAAACAGAGCTGTGCACCATCAACCTCATAGTTCTTTGTATGAAGACCAGGCCCTATGCTGTCCAGAGGTCCAGATGGCTCTATCCCCTGGATGCCACTCAGCTATTCACAGTGCCTCTAGCTCTGCTAACTTGCCCTCCGGTGGAAACCTGGAGCTTCTCTGGTTTCTTCATACTCTCAGGTGGTTTTAGTGCTGGGCTGTGCTTTGTTTTGTTTTGTTTCGCTTTTAGAGGCAAGGTCTCACTATGCAATTTGGGCCGGCTTTGAACTCACTATGTAGCCCAGACTGACCCAGAATTCACAGTGGGCCTCCTGCCTCAGCCTTCCAAATGTTGGGATTACAGGTGTTTGCCACTGTTACAGGGAAGTAGTTCCCAACCTGTTAAATCACCCAACTTCCTGTCTCACAATCTCAAAGAATAGACTTGTAGATAAAGGAGGTTAAGAGTAGGGGAAGTGGGCCAGGGATATAGCGCAGTGGCATAAGCACCTGCCTGGGAACACGAGGTCCTGAGTTCCACTCCTGTTATATCCCTCCCCCTGCCACAAAAAAGGAGTAGGAAGAGTTTACTAAGAAAGTTCTTGAGAGATAGGAGAGGTCCTGAAAGTGGGTTGCCACTGAGCTGTTCATTTAGGGTTTTGTACAGTAAAATCACACTGCAGGGTACGTTGGGTAAAGCTATAATCAACCTATAGAATTACAAGTACAGTCGCTTAGCTAATACTGATCTAACAAAAAATTGATATAGGCAGGAAGGTACATAGCACAGGCATTTCCAGAGTGGTAGGAAGGTCTGAGTGCCCTGATCATCTGTCTATGTGCTTCTCACGTTCTTTTTAGTGTGTGTTACATTTTTTTCTACTGTGTCACATTGTTTCTAGTTTGTTGGATTGTTTCTAGTGTGTGTTACTTTGTTTCTTTCATGTGTTACATTGTTGCAGCTTTCAGGAGCAAAGGGCCAGGTTACAGCCCTGCTTTGAGCTGCCCTTTATTTCTGGACAAGCTGCAAGCCTGGCCACTGCAGCTCCATCTCGAGCGTTGTTTCTGTCACTCAGCCCTGGGCCACAGGCTGCTTTGCCTCCTCTCTTCTGTGACTGTCTTAGGCTTGGCCTTGTCTAACTGCCTGTCACTCTACCTAAAGCAGCTCTTCTGCAGTACCACCAAGGATTTTGTTACACTATCAAGCTGCCATTAGTGCTGGAGTGAAAACTTGCTGGGCTACCACATTTCCCATTCTGCAGATTGTCACTTTCCAGGGCCACACTTCTTTCCCTGACCTCTCATGGGACTTTCCCAGGCTGAGTCTGCAGGTCCCAGTCTCCAGTTACCATCCTCACAGCTGACCTGCTGTGGGTCAAATCATTGGGGTGCTGCCTCTCAGGCTCTCAGGGAGGGGCTAGTAGAGAGTCATTTGCATTAAATTCAATGGAAGGCAAATGTGGGCTCCCTGCACTTTATTCTCAGGGTCTCTGGGTGTCAACACAGCCACCAAGGAGGATGCGTCAAGTGTCCTGCTCTCAGTGCAAACCCTCTGTTGCTCCAGGAGCTGGTAACATCCTGAGGTTGGGGGCCTGCACAGGACAGGCTGGGCTGGTGTAGCAGGATGTGGCCCCTACAGCTGGAGGAGTGCTAGTGTCCCCAGGAAGCTGGGGCCTGGCACAAGGCACCAGCCCTCACTTCCTGAGTTCTTTGTGCCCTTGATGAAATAATTCAGTCAGGACACACAGTACCTGCCTGGCAAGCATGAGGTCATTAGTTCTATCCCTGGTACAAGAAAAAAGAGCAAAAACCCACAGGCCCCACAGAAGTCTAGGTAAAACTTACTGTAAAGTGGGTGCGGTGAGTTACACTTTCGGGAGAGGGAAGAGAGTGCTATGAAGGCACCTGCCAGTTTAGTTTGTTTGTTTTTGGACAAATACAGGGTTTTACTGTGTAGCCCACTCTGCCCTCGAACCCACAGCAATTCTCCTGCCTCAACTTGCCGAGTGCTGAAATTACAGGTGCTCACCACCATGCCCAGCCCACATCTGCAAGTTTGGATGCCTGGTATGCACAGAACAGTTAGGCCAGGGCTTCAGGGACCCTCCATGACCCTTAGCCACGGTTCTCTTCTGGGCTACTCTGGAATGTTAAAATCTCAAGTATGTCTTCCTTGTTCCTTTCAAGGGCGTGGTATCCCCGCAGGGGGCTGTATTGGGGTAGGAATCTCAGTCAGGTCCCAGCCCAGGAGGGAGGGCTTTAAAGAGTGCTCCCTGTCGTGGTGTCCTCCGGACAGACATGGGCCCTGGCCCCCCGGAATGCTGTACACCTTGGGGAAACAGATGGCCAAGTGATCAGATGTCAGAAGGGCGTGCACAGTGTGTCACCTTAAGATGTCATCGTGCCCTTGGGGTCGTTCTAGGTCTGAGACCTAATGAATGCCATAGATACAGCAGAGGCAGCCAGGTTTACTGGTGCCCCCTCAGAGGTGAGCAGTGCTCATGGCCCTCAGCTTCAGAGGGTGCTGCAGAAAGGAATCCCTGAGCCTTAGGCCTAGTAACCCGCCAGGCAGGTCTGGGGCTCACTGCCTTCCTGTCCTGTGCCGCTTCAGAAGCTGGCACCTACCTGGGTTGGCAGCCAGGGTCTCCAGGCACTGCTGGGGGACAGGAAGGGTAACCAGGCCGGCCAGGCACGTTGCTCAGCGAGAGGGGGCCTCGGAGGTGGGAAGGAGGGGGCTTCAGTCTGCCCCAGCAGGGTGGAAAACTCAAAGGCGATGCGCAGTTGGCTTCCAGTATCACCTGTGAACCCTGGCCCTAGTAAAATTGTAACTGCTGCCCACAATCCATTCCATAAACCCTGACCTTGCTTATGTAGTTGAAAATTATTTTTCCAATGCATCGAATCTTAGATAATGAAGAATTGTTACAGCAGCTTTAAATTTTTTAAAAATTTTGATCTATTCTGATTTGTTGTAACAGGGGCTCCCTACGCAGCTCAGGCTGGCTGGGAGCACAGCAGCGCTGTGCCTCCGCGGAGAGCTGCTGCTACCCACGCAAGTGCGTCGCCCTATCCTCCTGTTGCACTCCCTCGCGACACCCAGACACCCCTCCGTCCCGCGGGGCGCTGGACCCACGCACGCGCAAAAGAAACGGCACAGGGCAGGCGCCCGTTGGTGACCTGAGTCGCGCGGAGGGAGGGGGCTGTAAACCTTCCACGGGGACCTGGGGTCTCCTTGGCTTCCTGCAGCCGCCTGGGAAAAGGGCCAGGCCGAGGCTCTGTGGCTTCCGTGTCGCCAGAACGTGGGGTGCAGGGGAAGCAGAACGATTCAACGACCTGGGACTCAACTGCGAGAGGCGACCGCGCATCCCCGGGTAGCAGGTGCGTCCGGGCCCGGTCCCGCCCAGGCCCCGCCCACCCGAACATGTCCCTCCAATCAGAGGGCCTCTCCCAGGCCCCACCCAACTTTGGTCCACGCCCACTCGCGGCCCCGCCCCTCCGGTTTCCCCTCTCACACTGCCCTCCCCCGAGATTCAAGCGGGGCGGGGCGGGGCGCTGGGGTCTCTCTCCCACTTCCGGAGGGGCGGGCCCACGTGGTGATTGACGGCTCGGCCGCTGGGGCCGAGCGCGCCGTGGGCGGGGCCCGCGAGGGGGCTTCGGGCTCGGGATTAGGACCGAGGCCCGCGTGAAGGTCCGGGGATCGGGACCCACGTGGGGCACCGGAGGCGGCCCGAGACGCGCGCGGGGAGTGGGGCCCGCGGGGGCGGGGCGGGGCGGCGCCGGCGGTGGCCCTGTCCCCACCCTGCGTCCCGCCCGCCGGCCACCTGCGTCCCGGCTGCGCCTCGGCCGATCGCGCCGCGTGGACTGTCCGGCGCGGGATGCGGCGGCGCTAGAGCGGCCCGAGCGGCGAGCCGGCGCCATGGCCAGCGCTGCGGGCGCGCGGAGCGAGGACTTGGACTGCCTGAGCCCCGAGGCCCAGCGGCTGGTGAGGGCTCGGGCGGGGGGGGCTGCGCGGCAGGGCGGGGCGCGGTGCTGCGGGCTTCGCGTGGCCCGGGCCGGGTCGGAGCGCGGCGCGGGGCCGAGGCGTCTCTGAGTCGCTCGTTTATTTTACAAAATGCAGCGCTGGGAGCTGGGGCCCGGGCCACCGCCCCTGGGCCGCGTGGCACCGCTGTCTGCCGCGACCCGCGTGGGGTGGGCGCCGGCCCGGCTCGGGACCGGTCCCTTGCGGGGCTCAGCTCCTCCCGGACCTGACGGGTCCCTTCGCGTGCGGGCTTTCGCCCGACCCGGTCCCGCGCACTGAGTTGGGCCCTGGGTGTGGGGTGGTTTGGCCTTGACCCTGGGAGGGGCAGGATGGGGAAGGTGGTGATTACCCACTTTCCTGCAATCTGCGGTTAATTTTGAATGGAATTATTTGAAAGCGAAAAGGTGCAGTTTAGAAAAAAAAGAAAACGCGGAGTTAGTCCGGGAAAGGTGTCCCGAGTTCCAGTCAGAGGTGCAGGAGCTACATGAGTGTGTGAACCATGAAACTTCCTCAGCCAGGGGCACTGTTCACCGGTCCACACAACCAGGCTGCGGCCGCCTTGGGGGCCCTCACCAGGAGACATAAGGGGGAGGCAGAGGAGCCGATTTTGATGAATGCACATCTGAAAATTAAATTCCTTGCTGAGGACTGGCAGGGATGTTTAGTTATTTGTTGCAATACTGGAAGTGAACCCAGCTTCTTTGGCCTGAGCTACATCCTCAAACCTTTTTTATTTCGAAACAGGGTGTTGCTAAGTGACAAGTGACAAGGCTGAGCTTGAACTTGGGATCCTCCTGCCTCAGCTTCCCAAAGTGCTGGGAATACAGGTGTGCACTACCACACCTGACTTGCCAGTGCTTTTTACCAGTTGCTTGCTTTGGGATTACATGTCCATTTGTGTGTGCTGTTTGTATGACCTCCTGTGTAGCCCCATCAGTGGGCTGGGCTCAGAGTTGGTTCCTGCTGGCCTGTCTGTCTTGTTTCTCCAGCCCTGGGAACCTGCAGGGAGACCTAGGGGTCCACGTGAGCAGGGACACCTGAGCTGCCCAAAGCTGGTTTGTGGAGCTGCCTGGTCGGTCGTGGAAGGCATGGATGCTGTGGATTCCATGCCTGAGAACCCACTGACTGAGCACAGAGCTGGGAGGCAGTGGGACAGGCACAGGAGGGGGAGCTGTGGCAGTGACAGGCAGGGGCCTGACCCAACACTTGGCCCTGCCCATGCCACTGGGTCCAGGTGCTGCCGGAAGTGAGGAGGTGAGGAGAACCCGGAACCGCTCCGATCCAGATGTGTGTTGGCCCATGCCTCTTGCCTCCCTCCAGAGTCATAATCCACTACCTGCAAGGGATGTGTGTACTCTTTTGGGTGTGCATGAGTGGGTGTGCATGAGTATGTGTGCATGGATGTGTGTGTGTGTGTTTGCGAGTGTATGGTGGAATCTGTCAGCAGTGAGGCCTGCTGTGACCCAGGGCAGTTATTTTTAGTCTCTCTCTCTCTCCTCCGAATGGGAATGGTTGTGTTTCTCTGCAGCCTGGCCCTGGGTTGGGTACCAGTTATTACTCTGGAGTATGCGGAATTCACAGTGCCGTGTCCATTGCCTTTCAAACCCTGGAAAGCTGCGCGCTGACTGCATCCGGCCCTAGGGTTCCTAGTAAGGAACTGTGAACCTGTGGGGGATTGAAGGTCTGGTTTTAGTCTTGGTAAATAGTAGCAAAAACTATCCAGAGAGGTGTGGAGAGCAGAAATAGCTGTGGCCCAGCCTGGAGTGGGGACACAGCTGGAGGCTGGTGGGGAGCCATTCACCTAGCTGGTGCCACTGGCTTTTGCATTGTGTCCCTGCCCTGGTGACCTGTGTGTCCCTGGTGCCTTGTGGCTAAGCCCCAGTGGGGTGGAGGAAACGGATCTGAATGAGCAGGGACCAGGGCTCTTTCAAAAGCCCACCTGTGCCGGGCTTTGCAGAACCCGCACTCCTTCAGCTGTCACAACTTCCTCATGTTGTCGGAGCTTGTGTCACTTCTGACTCTTTCGACATCCTCAGGCGGGTGCAGCCCTGGGTAGGGCCCTCAGGGTGGACCGTGCCCACACATCTGTCTAGTACGCCATCGTGGGAACCTGGGCCAGGCCCCACTTCAGGGTGGTGGGAACCCTAGTCCCCGAATAGCAGCCACTGGAGTCCTGGCATTTTGGGGTAAAACAGTGAGTTAGATATAAAAGGAGGGAGTTAGGTCTTTTCTAGTTACGAGTGTTTTAGGGACCCATGCACATGCATGTTTATAGCAACTCAATTATAACTCCAAACCTTGGAAACAACCATCAGTAGGTAAATGGATAAAGAAGATGCAGTATCTGCACATGGTGGAGTACTGCTCTGCCATAAAGGAGGATAAATTTGAGGCATTCGTTCACAGGTGAAATGGGTGTTAAGTGAACTAACTAACACATGAGTTTAAATATTGTCTGGTTTCTCTTAAGTGAGAAACATATATATATATATATATATATATATATATATATATATGTCTACAATAGAATATAGGTAAGTAGGAAGCAAAATAGAATATAAATAAACAGGAGCAAAATACAAATAAATAGGAAGTGGGGAAGTTTTTTCATGTGGATGGAGGAGGCTGGGTACAGTGGCACAGGCCTGTAATCCCAGCACTCAGGAGGCTGAGGCAGGAGGATGGGGCCAGCCTGGGTAACACAGTGAGTTCAAGGCCAGTCTGAACTACACAGCGAGACCCCATCTCAAAAAAAAAAAAAAAAAAAAAAAAAGAATAAAACCCAGAGCATCCTGCTGGATAAAGACAGACCAAATTCCCCTTTTTCTCTGAGTTTCTGTTCAGGCTGAGTAACACCACAGAGCGGAAGCCTCCTTAGCAAACGGCAGAAAGACTTCACTGTCTCAACTGCCACTTGCTCTGAGCACAGGAAGCTGAGTTATTTATAGCTGCAGTGCTGTGTCTCCGCCAAGCTTTTCCGAGCCCTACCTGAGGAGGGCTGAGTCCCGAGACTGCAGGAGGGTGGACTGCTGCTCCTCAAAAGGCAATGTTCTGAGCGCTTTCGCGCCCTCAGGGACCGCTGAGTCACAGGGGATTGTTTATGGCCTGTCCCAGCCGGTTACTCATTCCTGTGTTTCCAGAGTATCTGCTCATACTTTGCAGATGAGTGCCCAGCCTGAGGTGTTTGGCCGTTCAGGCTGTCGGGGTGGACGGTGGACGCTGCAAGGGGGATCTTTATTTCCTTACTGTGTTTGCTGCAGGCCGTTCAAATTTTAGGGTTTTGTTTTTTGAGACAGGGTCTCACTATAAACACAGAAGCTCATTTTCATAGATAAAATGAACATCCAGATAAAATTAAGTAAGCTTTCTTTCTCCCAAATTTAAAAAAAAAATGTCTTTGTGGACATGTCCAAGTGTGTGTGTTTTAATTTTGGTAGCGCCTGGAGCCTCGTACATGCTAAGCAAGTGCTCTACCACTGAGATTCTTGCCCCAGTCCATTTTATTTTATATTTCAAAGAGAGTTTCCCTCCTTTGGTTGCCTGGGCTGTCCTCAAACTTGGAATCTGCCTGCCTCAGCCTCCCTAGTGGCCGGGGTCCCAAGCATGCACTGCTGTGCCTGGTTTCTAGGATTTAGTAATTCCCACTCACTGTCTGATTACAGACCACTGTTTTGGTTCTCCGCCCCGGGCCAAATTCCAAAAACAGTAAACCAAAAATAAATACACAAAACAATAATAAAAAGCCAAACCAGAAATCCACCCAGCAACAGATGTGTGTTGTGAAACGGACTCATTCACTCCGGGAAGGGTCGGTGTCTGCAATGGCTTCCCCTCGCTTCTGTAGCTTAACAGCTGCAAAACCAAGTTAATGTCCCTTGAATCTAAAGTACAAATACTTTGCAGTAGAGAAGTGATTTGTATTAAACTAATGGGTACTACCGCCAGTTTGGTTTCATTTTCAGGTCAAGGTCTGTCTGGCTGTGTAGTTCAGGCTGGCCTCGAACTCACATCTATGCTCCTGCTTCAGCTTCCTGAATACTGAGCTGGCAAGCTATTTTTAATTTTACCCAACACCTCCTTTCTTTGCATGTTTGTGTAGTGGAAGTTATTGGACACCGCCCTTTCTGACTTGTGTGTCCTTGATCCTGGCCAGTGGAGGTGTGATTTTCCTAGCCCTAGAGAAACAGGAGTGGCCTGGAGGCATCCTGCCTGCAGAGCAGGCTGGCCCTGGCTATGTTTCCGGCACAGTGAGGGAATGGGAGGACTGAGAAAGGGTGTCCTCATCTCAGGGAAAAGTAAATGATTGACAGCAAGGTTGGAAATTCACTTCCAGGAAAGGTACCAGGCTTGCCGGCTGGGTGGTCCTGCCGCACTCCTTGTACAGTAACCTTCCACTTAGCTGGGTGTGGCGGTGCATGCCTGTAATTCCAACACTCAGGATGCTGAGGCAGGAGAATCACTGCAAGTCCAAGGCTAATCTGGGCTGCCTGCCCCCCATACCCATAGGTAGCAAGAGGAGCACTGTTTCCCAGGCCACTTTGCTCAACCTAGCCAGGGTTCGAAGAAGCAGGGTTTATCTCCATCTCTTTGAGAAGAGGAAATGGCTTAGCAGGCTGGGGCTTTCCAGGCCCTGCGGCAGTGTGGGAGGCGGAGGAGTCCTGGCCTGCGCTGACAGGGCCTCCGTGGGACGGGATGCAGTGCTTGGCCCACTCCGGCAGGAAGTGTGTGTGGTAGGCGGCATCCACCCTAGGGAGGCCCAGAGTTTCACCATCTCAGGACCTGGCGGCAGGATTTCTCTCTACTGGGCAGCCTCTAAGGGCACAAGTCCTTGGCCTGAGTGCAGGCAAGAAGTCTGCATTTCATCCACCTCTTCTGTACTCCGTACTCCTAGGAGAATGTTCAGTGAATTCTTAAAAAATAAAGTAGGGGATTAGCTGGGTTTGATGGTGCATGCCTATAATGCC